GAAGGATGCGAAGGACCGGCGCACCACGCCTGTATGAGCGCCCCCTGCGGGCAGTGTTGGGGCGTGACTCATCACAAGTAACTTGAGTTACGTAATCAGATTACTTTTTTCAAGTAACTAGCAGGGTTCGTACACGGTGCTTAAAGTACTTGACTTTTTTAAATTTAAGTTCTGGAAAACCTTTGAAAATAGCCATATTTACGAAGAGGTACTTGAAAAGTGCTTGACTTATTTAAATACAATGTAGCTATATGAAATAATTTTTTTCCGAAAACACACAAATGCAATCTTTTCACGCAAAATTAACAGTGCAGACCTTTCCTCAATACGAAGTACGCCAACATTATAATATAAAATATTATTTATTGAACAATAATAGCATTATAAACTAATATATAGTATTAAATACATTGTAAGTTGTATTTTGGATACCTGATATCTGTAATTTGAGTTTAAAAAATCCTAAAGATATTGTTTGATAAGTGCGATCTCTGATTGTAGTTCTTGAAAACCAAAAAAAGCAGTGCTTGAAAGTCCTGGCATTTCTGTTTACAGTCTCTGTACGAACCCTGAGCTAGTACAGTAACGCATTACTCTTAAATTTACAGCAAAATATCTGAGTTACTTTTTAAAATAAGTAACGCACGTTGCTTTTCCACATTCATTGACTGACAGCTCTCCTGTCCTCATGTTGAGAGATGTAGAAGTGCAGAGGCGTGTGTGTGTGTGTGTGTGTGTGTGTGAACATGATGGTTATTAGTTCTAGACTAAATGTGAGTGTGCATTTACTCATCTCACTTGCACAGAAAAGGTTCAAATGATGAATAAAATCAGTGAAATGCAAAATCCGAATAATACGCAAACCTCCAATAATTAAATAATGTTAAATAAAACATACATTTCTATGCATTTAATCTCACTTTATTGACCAATGCTGATCTTCGATGATTCAGTTAAACCATAAGTTTTTGTTTTTATTAGTAAAGTAAGTGTTAAATTTTCTTCTCCTGCATTATATTCGTCCGTTATCTCGAATGAATGGTTTGTTTGAGCAAACGTGTGAATGTGCTTTTTTTTTTGCATTATTTTTTAAATTTTGGTCTGAAAGGTATGGAAGCTTGTTTCCGCCACAGAATAAAAAATAAAAAAGGGTATTGCGACTTTTTATCTCACAATTCTGACTTTTTTTCTCACAATTGCGAGATATAAAATCGCAATTACGTGTTATAAAGTCAGAATTGCGAGATGTAAAGTCAGAATTTATTGATATAAAGTCGCAATTGCGTGTTATAAAGTCAGAATTGCGAGATAGAAAGTCAGAATTGCGTGTTGTAAAGTCAGAATTGTGAGATATAAACTATTCTGAGAATTGGCCTGATAACTCGCAATTGCGAGTTTATAACTCACAATTCTGAGAAAAGATGTCAGAATTTCGAGATATAAACTCGCAATTATGTGTTATAAAGTCAGAATTGCGAGATGTAAACTCGCAATTGTGAGAAAAAAAGTCAGAATTGTGAGATAAAAAGTCGCAATTCTGTCTTTTTTTCTCGCAATTGCGACTTTATTTCTCATAATTGCGACTTTATATCTCGCAATTGCGACTTTATTTCTCAGAATTGCGACTTCATATCTCGCAATTGCGACTTTATTTCTCAGAATTGCGAGTTTATATCACGCAATTGCGACTTTATTTCTCAGAATTGCGACTTTATTTCTCACAATTCTGACTTTTTTTCTCACAATTGCGAGTTTACATCTCGCAATTATGACTTTATTTCTCACAATTCTGACTTTTTTTCTCACAATTGCGAGTTTACATCTCGCAATTCTGATTTTATTTCTCAGAATTGCGAGATATAAAGTCAGAATTGCGTGATATAAAATCGCAATTGCGTGTTATAAAGTCAGAATTGCGAGATATAAAGTCAGAATTTATTGATATAAAGTCGCAATTGCGTGTTATAAAGTCAGAATTGCGTGAAATAGTCGCAATTTCGTGTTATAAAGTCAGAATTGCGAGATATAAAGTCAGAATTGCGTGTTGTAAAGTCAGAATTGCGTGAAATAAAATCACAATTGCGTGTTGTAAAGTCAGAATTGTGAGATATAAACTATTCTGAGAATTGGCCTGATAACTCACAATTGCGAGTTTATATCTCACAATTCTGAGAAAAGATGTCAGAATTTCGAAATATAAACTCGCAATTGTGAGAAAAAAGTCAGAATTGTGAGATAAAAAGTTGCAATTCTGTCTTTATATCTCGCAATTGCGACTTTATTTCTCAGAATTGCGACTTTATATCACGCAATTGCGACTTTATTTCTCAGAATTGCGACTTTATATCTCGCAATTGCGACTTTATTTCTCAGAATTGCGACTTTATTTCTCACAATTCTGACTTCATATCTCGCAATTGTGAGATGAAAAGTCGCAATTATTATTTTTTTTTATTTTTTATTCAGTGGCGGAAACAAGCTTCCATAGAAAGGGCCTTTA